TCTCTATATAAACAGATTTGATTCAAAGTTTTAATATATACTTTTGAGTAATCAATCAAGCAATCATAAGAGTTGTTTTCAAGAAAGAATCTCGCAAGTTTGTGGAGTTTTTCAGATTTCTTTCTTGAAGTAATTTTTGCATTCTTTTGGTGAAGAAACTCATTCTGTAGAAGCTGCATAATCTGGGTTTGATTGTCCTAGTTTCTTCTCTTCATTTCTTTACATTTCTTTACTGTATTGTGGGTGTCTGGAATTGTTGAACACTATTCTGTAGCTGGAATTTGGTTGCAGGTTGGTTCAAGAACTAGAATTTGATTCTTGGTGAAGGTTTAGGTGCAAGATCTGAAATTTGGGTCTTGTGGTAGATTGGGTGTGTGATTGGTATTTGTAATCTGTAAAACATTTAATCTAGTGGAACTCAACTGGAATTTGGTTGAGAACTAGACGTAGCCCTGGGATTGGGTGAACCAGTATAAATTTTGGTTGTATTTCTCTAAACCTTACTCTCTTTAATTTTACCACTGTCTTACATTAAATAGCTTGATTTTCTTGGTTCAAGAATTGGTCAAAACTCTTAATCTTTGAAATAGATAATCTGTAAATTGCGAAAATCTTTCAAAGATCAATTTACCCCCCCCCCTCTTGATCTCAGCCTCTTTTTCTAACAACACTGATCATGATAACATAAAGTCTGTGAATGACAAAATTTATAAAAGATGTCAAGAGGCTTGCTACGTTTTGGGGCTTTTGGCTGTAACAATTGAAGCTAGCAAACTTGCTTCTAGAAATGAGTTAAGAAAAATTGATAAAAATACTCTTTTTCCTTCCACTAAGTATGGTGCTGAAAATCTTGCACCATGAGCATCTAAGAATCAAACAAAATTATTTCCTAAGTCTCAAGAGAAAATTGGCACTAGCTCCTCCAAGGAATGTTCATTGTAAGAGAATAAGAGAAAAAAATCACCAGAGACACTTGAAGATAAGCCAATTAGGGGTAGAAGTAAAATATGCAAATTTCACATACTAGTTTTGACTTCATTCACATGTGTTGAAAAAACTACTCAAGGGGTCATATATATATAGTTGTTCCCCTTCATTCCCTCACTCACCTAGGGATGTGGGACTAATTTGGCCATATACAAGTGATGGCTGAATTTCTCAATTACAAAGGGATTAAGTCCCACATTTCTTTCATCTACATGATTTTAAAAGTTTATATATGCTTATGCTCCCCATAGTTGCAACCAAGACTTGAAGCTTGGACCTTCTAGCTTGGAATTGGCTTGCTTTAGCCTAAAATGTGAGAAACAATGGTGCATACATTGGTTTAGGAAAGACGTTTTCCAATGTTTATATACCAAGGAGTTTCCATAATGTGCAACCAAGTGAGGTGAATGAATGAGTGGTCGTGAGCTTCCTTTCCATGACCATGGCTTCCTCTCCATGTAGTCTTTCCATTGTTGGGTCATGGCTTTATGTGGCTAGACCTTTAAAGTCCTTTAATCAAATGTATCCTACAAAAGATAAAATGGAGGTTTTTATAATTTTATACAAAGTAAAAGGTAGAAGAGGGTTTTTAATAAGAGAGACTCCAAAGGAGAAGTGTTCTTCAAAAAACTTCCTCCTCTTCTATCCTCCTAATCATGGGCCTTGTTTGAGGCCCAATATGTTGCGACCTAGCTAGTCCTCTGAGCCTTGGTTGAGGCCTTGTGTATTATGACCTAGATGGACCTGTAATTGAGGCCTAATGTATTAGGCCTAAACGGTCCTCCATAAAAAATGTTTGTTTCTTTGTTAGTCATGAACACCATGTCTAAACCATATATTTTTTAGAATTTTACTTGAAAGTTATTATCATATGGTATTTTATATATAAAAAAAAAGACTTGAATTTACCAAGTATGCAACTTTTTCTCTTATTGAAAATAAATTAGAAAATTGCATGTTTATAACATTGATTTGTTTATGTAGGTCTTCAAATTGATGAAACTGAATTACATATTTTTTGTCTTCTAGAATTAGAAGAATTGTTCATATCAAATGGTAGGACTTTAAAATATTATAATTGTCTATCATAACCTTAATATTCATACTCATTCCTTCTTCAAAATTAATTTATTATTGAATAGTTGAGTTATGATAAAGTATAGATGAGTGAGGTACATGCATCACTCTTCCAATAATTGAAAAATGAACAAATGCATGTCTATGAAGAGGTTTTTACAACCACTGTTTTGAAAATCGGATCGGTCGGTTCTACCGATTAAAATGAGAACCGAATTAAAAATCAGTTTGTTGATTCCAAATAATCGAATTTTAAATAAACCAATATAAAATAAAAAAAACCGAGACAAAATTGGTAAAAACAAAAAAAAACAATAAGGTTTTTAGATCGAACCAATTTTAGTAAAAAAAAATTAGGATCAAACTTTATTAACATAATTATTTTTATAAAAGTTATAATATATTTTTTTTCTTCTTCTTTTATCTCATATTAGTTACGTTAACTTTAAATAATAGTTATTTTATTCTGGTTTATCTTATTTTAACAATTATTCATCCTACACTCTCTAATATATTTTATATTTATAACTTTTATTATAATATAACAGTAACCTTTATTATTTTTGTTTCTTTTTGTAAAAAACATTAGTACTAATAAACTTATTATATATTTAGTATATTATAAAATATTAGTTTTATAAGTCCGGTTGGACCTCGGTTAAACCCGATTAAACCTTTAAACTCTAAACCTATGTCTTCATAGTGATTGTTCAATTTTAAAAATATTTCTTACATCAATGTTTCCAGAAACAAGAAGGATTTTTCTTTGTATAGTGGTGGCATAGAAAAAATATTTCTTTGGAAACCTTTGTTAGCTGCTATTAGGTCTAAAGAAATAATTGTATTTAATGTATCTTCAAGTGAAATTGCTTCTTTGTTATTTTCTTGGAGAGAGACAACTCATCCTTTTGCATCTCATTATTAATAAACGAAGAATCAATTTTCAATATTGGCCAAGGAATCTTCGAGCTAAGCTTTTTATTGAAACCAAGCTAATTATATGGGATGAAACACCAATGATGAATGAATTGTGTTTTGAAGCATTTGATAGAACATTGAAATATATTTTAAAATTCCAAAATAAAAATCATGCAAAACCATTTGGTGGTAAAATTGTTGTCTTAGGAGAAGATTTTAGGCAAAATATACCTATTGTGAGGAAAGGTTAATGACACGATATTGTTAAATCATCCATAAATTCCTCTAAACTATGAAACAATTGCAAAGTTTTGAAGCTTTATGAAAATATGAGATTAAATACTATGAAAACATATGAGAATGCAAGGGATATAAAAGAATATGCTAATTAGATATGAACACATAGATGAAGGCTATATTGAGATACTAAAAGATCTTTTAATTGAGAAAAATGACACACCATTACTTTAATTGATTGATTTTGTTTATCCTAATTTAGAACATAAAATAAAGTCTCCTTGTTTCTTTCATGATGGAGCAATACTTTGTCCAACTATTGAATTTGTAGAAGTTAATGAATTTATTTTATCCTCAATACCTAATGAAAAAAAGAGTTGTTTAAGTTCAGATACACCTTACCAATCAGATGAAGACCAAGAAATTGAAGGTGAATGATTTACATCAAAGTTTCTAAATACCTTTAAATGTTTTACAATTCCAATTGATTGTCTTATGTTGAAAGTTAATGTGCCCGGTATGCTTCTGAGAAACATTAATGAAGCTAATATTATTTTAGCTACTGTGATAATTAGAGAAAACATTAGTGACAAAATATTTATACCAAAAATAAATTTTATTTCTTCATATCTAAAACAAAAGACAACTTCATTTATCAAATAATAATAAACATAAGTAAAGAACAATCATTACCTAATATAAAATTTTATCTTTCACATTATACATGGTCAACTATACTATTTCAAGATTAACAACCAAAAATAAATTAAAAACTCTAATTATGGATATGAAAAAAAAATGTACATATAAAAAAAATCTTTGAAAACCTTTTTAAGCATATTAAATTCTTCTTATCATATACAAATATTGGTTTACTATTAATATACTATTTTTTTATATTATATTTTATTATTAATTTAAATTTTAATCAAATGCAGCTTTTGAAAGAATATATCAATATACAACTTATTCTCCATTAAATATAATTTAAACTTATAAACTCATATTATAGATAAGATTTCAATTATATTATAAATTATCTTCTCATTCATCATAATTTATATTTTTTAAAGTTATTTTATTAGTCTTTAAATATATAACATAATGCGGTAATAACACCAGTAACTAATGACTTAAATGCATATCACTATTTTTATTGTGCTCTTTCAATTAGAATTGGAGTTCAGATAAAAATAATTATAATTGGATAAATAGCATAAATTTCTTGAAATTGCATTTAAACTTTGTCAATAAAAAAAGAGAGTCATTTAAAAAATAATAGTTTTTATGAATCTTTTTGTTTAAACATATGCTGGTTTCACATTTTCCGTGAATCTAAAAAAAAAAACTAAATGGACACTAATTTTAAAAATAAGGATCAAATTAAATTTATTTGAACAAAAAAAAAACTGAAAGTCGTAGATGAAAAATAAAAATGATATCTATTTTAAAAGAATAAATAAAGTTAAAATGAATTAGTTTTTGCGAAACTCAATTTTATTTGGGGGAGGGCGGTTGATTTCTTACCGAAAACATGAGGGTTAAAATGGTAAATTCGGCTTAGTGTCTCTACAAGGGTCTATAGACAACTAACCGCCAACAACAGAAGAACAGAGCAGACGTTGCAGCAGCGTGAGCCATGAAATGTTCCTCTGTTCTTTCTCTATCTATCTCTACAATGTGTTATTGATTGAATTGTTGAACTGCATCGATTCGCTTCATGATTCTTCCTCACTCCAACAACGTCCTTCTTCTCCAACCACCTTTTCCTCTCACCACAAATGTGGCGTCGAAGCTTCTCCAAACTTCCCCTTAGAGCCTCGGTTTTAGGCTTTCTGACGCGATCGTTCTCCCGTGAGGCGGGGAAAAGGTTCGCCGCGTTGTGGGGGAACGGCGACTACGGCAGATTGGGTCTCGGCAACTTGGATTCGCAATGGAAACCCGTCGTTTGCCCCGCCTTCCGCAACCAAACCCTCAATGCCATTGCTTGTGGTGGTGCTCACACTCTCTTCTTAACAGGTTCACTTTTCATTCCACTTTATCAAATTGGTTATTCTTCTATTTTCTTTTATTTATTTACTCGTTCAATTAAATTGAGCATTAAAAATAAAAACAGAATATTGAATCGTTTTCTTCTTGATTGTTGTAGTAATATTGTGATTTTGGAAAGGATAGTCTTGCGCAGTAGTACGAAGTGCAATTGGTTGTGGTTCGTCTGGGAATTTTTTAGGGATGCGATGGATTTTTTTCTTGGGTTCATTGAATTGAAATGTCTTTAATTTGCTACTTGATGGTTTAGCTTAGTAACAGTCTTCACTGTGCTATTGGATTGGATGATACAATGTTACAGTGTTTAAAATTGGTGATGAGTCTGATTACTATTGAAGAGTCTTCGTAATATCCGTATAGGGGCTCATAATACTGTCTCCTTTCGCAGACGATGGATGTGTTTATGCGACTGGTCTTAATGATTTTGGGCAACTTGGTGTCTCAGAGAGTAAGCACTACTCAGTGGTATGATTAATTTTCATTTTTTTACCTGTATTTTTGTCTAGTGAACTTATCACTGTTGCAGTAGATTGCTTTTTGCTCGATTGTTGATGAATGCATTCCCTCTGGTCATAAGTAGGAACCGGGGAAAATTTATCTGACTGCATTTTCTGTGTTTGGAATATCTCAGGACCCACTTCTTGTTTTTGGAGAGGAGAAGAAAGTTGTGCAGATCTCTGCTGGTTATAGTCATTCTTGTGCGATAACAGGTCTGTGTTTCTGCATGCTAGTGTCCACCACACCATTAATGACAATTGACAAGCCTCAACCTTCAAAAAATATTATTTGATATTGGACGGCTTCTTGTTTCGTACAAGTTTTGAACATGAATAATGTATCGTTCAAGTTTTGTATTTGAATTTGGATGTCTTCTTTTTTCCTCCGAAATGAGTATTTAACACCTTTAAGTTCTTTTATCCTCTGAATTCCTACATATATTCTATACTTTCCTATCTTCAAAGTAATCCCCCCTCTCCACCTTCTTTCTCTCTTGTATCTGTTGCAGTGGATGGAGAGCTTTACATGTGGGGAAAGAATACAAGTGGGCAGCTTGGACTTGGAAAACGTAACAACTAAACCTTGTATCACCATTTAATGGGCCTAAAGAGTTTTTTTCTCCTGAACCTGCTCTTATTATTATGTTTACCTGTTTAAAACTGGATACTCTTAGTAGTCAGAGCTGTTAAAGCTGCTCAGAGAGAAAAGGATGGAAGGTAGCAGCTACTTTCAGAATAACTCTGTTTTGCTGAAATGTAGGGGCTCCAAACATAGTTCCTTTGCCAACTAAAGTAGAATACTTGGATGGAATCAACATTAAAATGGCAGCTCTGGGTTCGGAGCACTCTGTCGCTATTAGTGGTATGCAATAGACACTAGATATTCATTATATCTTCTCAATTATTGTTATTGAGTTACTCTTAGCAAGCATGACTGTAAATTGTACACTAAATATTCATAATAACTTCTCAACTGTTGTTATTGAGTTCCTCTTAGCAATCATGAATGTAAATTATACACCAATACGCATAATATTTTCTCAATTGGTTGTTATTGAGTTCCTCTTAGCAAACATGACTGTAGATTGTACACTAAATATTCATAATATATTCTGAATTGCTGTTATTGAGTTCCTCTTAGTAAGCATGGCTGTAGATTGTACACTAAATATTCATCATATCTTCTCAATTGTTGTTTCTTTCTTTGATAGATGGTGGAGAGGCCTTTAGTTGGGGACTGGGAGTGTCTGGTAGACTTGGTCATGGCCATGAGTCAAGCATCCTAGGATTCTTCAAGTGTTGCAGGTTCTGCCCCTTTGTTTCTTTAACAATTTTTTCCTCATTAATTTATACCTCTGCTCTGTTTTGTATTATGTTCAGTAAATTGCACTTTATCCAAAGTGATTTGGCTCAATAAAACTTTGCCACTTTGTGGTAACATTTTTTACATATCCTCTCCTTGGTGTTTTCCTGTTAAAACATATCAAGCCATGTTCTATTTTCCATCCTTCGTTTTAGTAGTGTAGAGTTATACTGTAAAAATCTCTAATCTCATTCCTCTTTTCATTTTTCTGTCATAGATTGGTTAGTCATTTTCTCGCCCTTTTGCTACCTTGCACTTAGGGGTGAAAATAGAATATATCCCATGGGAGGCTTGTGGCTTAGCCTGCATTAGATCCAGGTTAAGTCAGGTTTTTTATGGAATGTACTAGGTCAAGATGTTTATAAAAGTATGGTTAAAATATCAAGTCAGGTTATTTAAGTAAATAACTTTTTACTAGTTTTTTGTTATATTAAACTTTCTATAATGTATTAAAGTCATATATTGATTTACTTCTGTAAATATTAAACATGTTGATCTACATAAAGAGTCAAGCCCATAATTTGTTGAAAGATAAATTAAGCCTTTTTGCAAAATAGACTTTTAAATAAGTCATTATGAAGGTCAATTTAAACCCTAAAATAAGACTTGTATCATTATAAACAACTTAGGCTCGTCTTTTATAAACCCTAAATGCAACGTATTTCCATTTTTGTCTCATGCTGTAGTATTGGTTTTAATTTCCTTAGTTTACAATTTTTTTACATTAAGTTTTTTCCTCTGTTTTGGAAAACGAATGAGACTGTCCACTCAGGTAATGAGTTAAAAGAAACCCCAAAACAAAAGTGCAGAAGAACTGGAAAACCGGTGAAACTGGTGAAAAATCGATCTAAACTTGTTTAATTAAAAATATTTAATAATACCTTATTTTAATTTTTTTCTTAAAAATAGAAATCAACGTAAAAATATTTGCATATTTTCTTTTTATTCTACTTATAAACTTATTATTATTAATAAATATTGATAAACATTATTGAAGTATTAATTTCAGTATGATAACATTTTATTATAAATTTTATATATATTTTAAATCAAAAGACTTATGAATTTATGTTTCATTTTAGTTTCTAGCCTCATAGAATTATATTATATTTTTTAATATTATTTAATATACTATTTAATTATTATACGAATTTAAATAATGCCGGTTTGACCCCGGTTTTACTAGGTTGAATCATTGAAATATGAACCAGTGTTTTGACTGGATCGATTTTGAAAACATTGGTTTCTTTCTATCTACTTAGCATCCAATTAGCTTTCCTAGGGATATGTCAAGCCTATCTAAAAGCTTTAATATAAAATAAACATTTAAGTTAAGGAATTTCAAACAGTCATGAAAAAGCCTATGACACAGTACTACTGAAGGCATGGGTAGTTAAGCGTGGGCTTTAAATTTTTAAGTAGGCCAAATCCATTTGAGCAAAACCGTGTATTTTCACCCATACATGCACTTGAACAAGAAGCTTTGTGAAGCACAAAGAAAACTACACCTAAAATTTATGCCAGTTGAAAAAAATGATGTTGATAATGTTGGCCACAGAGATGTATATGATCACTGTAATTTGGTTTTCAAAAAAGACCTCCTCTATACATAATTTATGTAGGCGGTTAACCATAGAGACATAGATTGCAGACTGTAAACAATAAGAGAAAACAGATGAGGCAGAAAGAAATAACATTAATGATTAATTGAGAAACATTAAGTAGATTAACTTATATAGAAGTCTTGCAAGTTAATACACAATTTATTGCAATAAAACCTAAAATTGTTCGAATTTTATCTTTTAATAATGGGTCATACTTATACCTTTTTTGTTGCAATTTAGTGTACTGGTTAAGTGCATAAGCCAATTTTTTTATTTTTGTGTACTTGACTTTTTGAATGAATTGGAAGTTTCCATAGCTTTTAATCAATTTGAGTTCTGTAGGAAGACAGGACACTTAGAATATATTAAAGAATACCTTCTGCACTCAAAACATGTCTGGAGCATTTCTAAATTAGAAGTCTTAAAAGAAAAAAATTAACTAAGTAAACTGTGTCTGTATTTGATACTGAAGGAAGCTTAAATATCCAAACAAAGCTGCTTTGACTATGATCTTATAAAAATTGCAACATTCACCATGCTATTAATATTATGTGTATCTGTGTTGATATACTTTTTAAATATCATGCAGTGAGTATACCCCAAGGCTTATAAAGGATCTTGAAGGAATCAAGGTCTGATGTTGAATGCATTGTCTTGTTGCTTCTAATTTAAGATAGTTAATATTGGCTTCAAACTTTTAGCTTTGATCTTTATTGTTTTGCCTTTATTCTTGAACATGTTTAGGTAAAATACGTAGCTGCTGGGTTGTTAAATTCTGCTTGTACCGATGGTACTTTCTAGTTTTTTTTTTTTTTTTATCTTTTTATATTTGTTTTCGTACCTTGTATTTTGTATTGGGAGTTTGTCTGCTCTATCTTGATGAAAATTTTGCAGAAAATGGCTCTGTTTTAGTATTTGGTGAAAGAGGAATTGAAAAATTGGTAAGCAGTTAGTGTTTTTCTATTTTTTTCTTGTCTTTTCCTACTCATTTTCTACTGCTTGCAACTAATATTATTTTCAACCCCTCAGCATTTAAAGGAGATGAGTGATACAACAAAACCATCCTTGATCAGTGAACTTCCATACTCAAAAGAAGTTGCTTGTGGTGGCTACCACACCTGTGTCCTGACAAGTAATTCGTCAGTTTCAGAACTCTTGATCTTGTGTTGATTTGTTTGTAATCATTTCTTTACTGTTTCATTCTATTGTTATCTGTAGATTCTGGTGAGCTTTATACTTGGGGTTCAAACGAAAATGGGTGCCTTGGAATTGGGTATTATTTTACACTTGATACTTGGTCATTTTCATTTTTTGGCATTGAGTTTTTAGTGTTTTAATATTTCAAATTAATTTTATCCAGTTCCTCAGATGTCATTCATCTACCTGAAAAGGTTCAAGGGCCATTCTTGAAGTCCTCTGTAAGCCAGGTTTCTTGTGGTTGGAAGCATACTGCAGCCATTTCTGGTAAATTCTTCCCTTCAACAGAAAAGAATTGCGATTAAGTACCTTTTTTCTGGTTATATTGATGTAAAAGGCAGCTTACTTTTATTATAAAGAATAATTTCATCACAAATATAAAAGATATCAAAGAAAATATCAAGGAAGCAAAGCTAGTTAATCTCATAACATATTTGTTATAGGGAAACCCTTTTAATTTTTATTATTACACATGCTTCATTGCGAATAGAGGCCAAATTTTAGAGATGGCCAAAAGTAAAGTTTTTGTTGAAAGTCCCACATCGCCTACCTCATATCATTTGGTATGGTTTAAATACATGTTAGGCTACTCCCCATATTGCCAATTGGTTTTATGTTGGAACCTTAACATGGTATCAGAGCCAAAGCCTAACATCTTTCCGGTTATTGTCATGGGCCAAAAGTTGCCCTTTAGTTGGGTCAAAAGTACCTTGCCTGGTTCGGCAGGCTTCGTTGGAGGGGGTGTGTTGAAAGTCCCACATCGCCTACCTCATATCATTTGGTATGGTTTAAATACATGTTAGGCTACTCCACATATTGCCAATTGGTTTTATGTTGGAACCTTAACAGTTTTATTATGTAAAACTTTACATCATAGATTGAACTAACCTATCCATTAAAATAATTGAAAATAAAATTATAAGTTGAAAAAGGATGGAAAAATAATAAGAGGTGGATCAGGTTTGAACCAAGTTCCAACCTGAACTAAGCATGATTGGGAAAGTTCTCCTTGATTTAACCTGGATACCTAACTCAAGTCAGCCTTTTTACGCTTCAGTAGACTTGGGTGGGTTCACAAGTACATCCAACTTGTCCACCCCTACCAAAATACCTAATGAACTTCTCATATTAAGAAATTTTCTTAGATGTGAGCATTACACATTTTAAAGGTAAGCACATTGTTAGTTTAACAATAGATGCAGACTCTAATGATGAGGAAGTTTGTTACTTACCTTGCTGTCTCTAGTTCATATATGGTTTATTGAGAGAGATAAGGGATGGAGAACTTGATTGATATTTCTTTAGGTTACACTTGAGAGAAAATAAGAGAAATATTATAATATTTGGGTGTATCTCCACAACCCAAATGACCTCATTTATAATGGAAGGTTGTAGAGATACATTGATTACAGGGGAGATGAAAAGTTAAGTTCGAGAAGATACAACTCATAGATAGATACAACTAATACATACCAATCTAGTAAATATAAATCTTGTGAATCTAATACTCCCCCTCAAGCTAAAGCATACAAATTGTATGTGCCAAGCTTGACACAAATAAACTTAATACGAGGTCCATTTAGAGACTTTGTCAATGCATTAGCAAGTTGATCATTGTACCCAACAAACTAGTATTGATTTCTTTTGACAACAACTTTTCTCAAATGAAATGACAATCAATTTCTATTTTTTTTTATTCTCTCATGGAACACTAGATTTGAGGCAATGTGGAGAACAACTTGGTTATCACAAAAGCTTAATTCGTGAAGTAACTGTTTTACCCACATAAGCTCATAAATAAGAGATGTCATTGGCCGGTATTCAGCTTCAACAGTTGATAAAACAACTGTTAGAATTACTGTAGTTAGGTGACTGATAGAAGTATTACAGGTGGCTATTAGAATTAATACAAATTGGTAGTAGTTGAATTAATTTAAATGTAATTTATGAGTTGTACCTATCTAAATCTATATATATGGGATCATGAGTGTGGTGTGATTAACCCCTCTAAAAATAATTCTTTTTTTAATACTAAGTTGGTATCAGAGCGGGTTAATCCTGCTCTGCTAGTCCCAGTTGCTGCTGGCCATCGCTTCCGACCACTGGCCGCTACCTCCGATCGTTCGTTGCTGCTGCCTGTCGCCGCTATATCTCTTCATTATCCTTGTGGTCTCCTATAAAAACTCCAGCAAACATGTCTTCTGGACCTGTTGTCTCTTTCTCAAGCACTCCTACCATCACTTCTGTGAAATTGAATGAAAAAAATTATCTCTCTTGATTTGCTTCCGTTAAAATGTGGTTCCTTGGCCAAGGTCTCCATGATCACCTTTGTTGAAGTTTTTATTAGATTAAGTGTATCTTGTTGGACATTTATGAGATTAGTTGTAGACCTAGTTCCTAGAATGCATCTGTTTATCTTCTCTAGGATTAATCATGTCTCTCTATTAATTGTATATCTGAATCTGTATTTTTATCTCCTATAAATAAGAGAACACAAGAAGATGATTGTAGGCTCTCAAAATCAGTTCTTTATTTTCTTTTTTCTATTTCAAGTTGGTATCAGAGTGGGTTCATCCCGCTCTGCCTGTCTCTGTTTTTTTTCTGGCATTAATCGCCGTTCACCGCCGTCCGCCGCCGTCCGCCGCTGGTGTTGTCTTCTCCAGCGCCTTTTTCCTCTCTGACACTTGGGTTTGGCTCGCCTCGAGGAGCGCAACCCAACCCCAGTGTTCGCTTCCTCTATCTCTGCCTCACGCGCCGCCACGCGCCACCCTCGTCCGTGGCTTCCTCCGCGCGTGGGCCTCACGCGCCGCCCTCTCGGTGGCTGTTTTACTCCAGGCCACCTCTATTCGGCTCGCCTCGTCGCCCTGGTGCCAGATCTGCACTTTGTTTTGTGTTCTCGGTCACAAAACATGGTGGATCTGCGTGTTTCTCTCTGCCTCTCTTGGTCCTCTCTCTGACAGCACGCTGGTCCTTTCGTGTTTCCTGTAAAATGTCAGGACCGGTCTCTGTATCTTTTTCTGGGACTCCGACTATAACCACAGAAAAATTAAATGGAAAAAATTATTTGTCTTGGGCTTCCTCTGTTGAGCTCTGGTTTCTAGGTCAAGGAATTCATGATCATCTAGAAGAAGATGGAAGTACTATACCAGCAGATCAGGCTCCTCAATGGAAGAAACTGGATTATCAACTTTGTGCACTATTATGGCAATATGTTGAACCACATATTTTGAGCACTCTTTGAGCCTTCAAGACATGTAATTCTTTTTGGAAAAAGGCTCAAAATATCTTTGCTAACGATATTCAACGACTTTATGATTCTGCTAATAGACTAGCCTCCCTTAAGCAAGAGGATAATTCCATGATGTCCTTTGTTGCTGAAGCTCAGTCAGCTGTTGAAGAATTAAAAATGTTCCTGGAGGCAGAATCATTAGAAGAAAGGAAGACGAAGTTGGATAAATTCTATATGGTAATGATTCTTAGGGCTATGAATCCAGAGTTTAATCATGTTAGAGACCAGATTCTAACTGGAGAAGAAGTTCCTTCTACGGAGAGTTTAATCACAAGGCTACTTCGTGTTCCTTCTATCAAAAGCAAAAACAGTCAGGAACTTGCTGATTCTTCCGCCATGATTTCTGCTCGTGGAAGAGGTAATCACAGCTCTAGAGGACGTGGTGGGAAAGGACGTCCTCAGTGCTCTCATTGCAAAAGAATGGGACATACTAAGGAAAATTGTTTTGCTCTGCACGGCTTTCCTGATAAGGCAGCTAATACCTCAAAATCTGAAGTTGATGAGCCCAAGTTCTCTCATGAAGAGTATCAAGAATATTTAAGGATGAAATCAACCAATTTGGCTCAAGCATCTACAACACCAAATTCATCAACCGCTTGCATTTTGCAATCTGTGGAAAGTCAAAATCCATGGATTATTGACTCAGGTGCTTCTGACCACATGTCTGGTAATACCTCTTTATTTTCCTCTCTTTCATTTCCTAAAACATCCCATCTCATATCTTTAGTTAATGGATCTAAAGTAGCCTCTAAAGGAATTGGTCAAGTATCCATCTCTTCTTCTTTAAACCTTCAAAATGTTCTTTGTGTTCCTTCTTTTCCATTCAATCTTGTTTCTGTAAGCCAATTAACCAAATCATTGAATTGCTCAGTAACCTTTAATGCCAATTGTTTTGTTATCCAAGAACGTGGTATGGGTCGACTGATTGGAGAAGGACGTGAATCTGGAGGCTTATACTACCTAAGGACTAAGTCATTTGTATCTTGTGTTGCGTCCTTATCCCCAAAACTGTTACATGAGCGATTAGGGCATCCTCATTTAGCAAAATTGAAAAAAATGGTTCCTGAACTTCAGAACCTTCAAACTCTTGAATGTGAATCCTGTCAACTAGGGAAACATACCAGGTCATCCTTTCCAAATCATTCTGAATCTAGATGTGATTCTGCTTTTAGTATTGTTCATTCAGATATATGGGGACCTAGTCGTGTTTCATCTTTTGGTTTTAGATATTTTGTTACTTTTATTGATGGGTTTTCTAGATGTATTTGGGTTTATCTCATGAAAGATCGTTCTGAACTATTTTCTATCTTTAAGTCTTTCCTTAATGAAATCAAAACTCAATTTGGAAAAGTAATCAAAGTTTTACGAAGTGATAATGCCAAAGAGTACTTTTCTAATGATTTTTCTAATGTCCTAAATTCTCAAGGCATTTTACACCAGTCCACGTGTCCTCACACACCACAGCAAAATGGTATAGCAGAACGAAAAAATAGACATTTGGTTGAAACTGCTCGTACCTTATTGCTGGGTGCCAATATGCCTATTCATCATTGGGGAGATGTTATTCTAACTGCATGCTTTCTCATTAATAGAAGAATGCCATCTTCTTCTCTTGATAATAAAGTTCCACACTCTATTCTATTTCCAAAGGAACCAATTTTTCATGTTTCTCCTGGGGTATTTGGATGTATATGTTTTGTTCATGACATGTCTCCTGGCTTAGATAAACTCTTACCTAGAGCTATCAAATGTGTCTTCTTGGGGTATTCTCGTCTTCAAAAAGGATATCGGTGTTATTCTCCTGAAACCAAGAGGTACTACATGTCTGCTAATGTCACCTTTTTTGAATCATCATCCTTTTTCCCTTATTCTATGCAGGATATTGATTCTGTCCAAAATGTGTTTCCTGTTCCCTTAGTTGAATCAGTTGTACCTCCTACTCCTGACACCCCAAATCCCAACCAAAATACTCTAGAATCAGCATCACAGCCTATCATCACCTATCAACGTAGGAACCAGGTGAACAATCCCATTCCCCAAGATGAGCCATCCATAACAGGTCCTTCACCATCATCCTCTAATACCACGGCTCCTGATAACGATGACTCCAGTTGGCCCATTGCCATTCGCAAAGGCACTCGTTCTACTCGTAATCCTCATCCCATTTACAATTTTCTTAGTTATCATAGATTGTCTCCTTCCTATTGTTCTTTTATTTCCTCTGTCTCCTCTATTACAATTCCCAAAAATGTGGTCGAAGCGCTTGATCATCCTGGATGGCGACAAGCCATGATTTCTGAAATGCAGGCTCTTGATCACAACAAAACATGGGAGCTTGTTCCTCTCCCTTCGGGAAAGAAAACAGTTGGTTGTCGTTGGATCTATGCTATTAAAGTTGGGCCCAATGGTCAGGTTGATCGTCTTAAAGCAAGGTTAGTGGCTAAAGGGTATTCTCAGATATATGGACTTGATTATTGTGATACTTTTTCTCCAGTAGCCAAAATGACAACTGTCCGCCTGTTCCTTGCCATGGCCGCCATTCGTCATTGGCCTCTTCATCAATTGGATATTAAAAATGCTTTTTTGCACGGTGATTTAGAAGAAGTTTACATGGAGCAACTCCTGGATTTGTTGCTCAGGGGGAGTCTGGTCTGGTTTGTAAATTACGTCGATCCCTCTATGGCCTAAAACAATCTCCACGTGCTTGCTTTGGAAAATTCAGCTCTATTGTTCAAGCTTTTGGATTAAAACGCAGCGAAGCAGATCATTCAGGTGTTTTATTGTCACACCGCCCTGGCAAACATGTTTATTTAATTGTGTACGTTGATGATATTGTCATCACGAGAGAATGATGTCGCTAAAATATCTCGGCTAAAAGAGCACTTGTGTAGTCATTTTCGGACCAAGGATCTTGGAAATCTAAAATATTTCTTGGGTATTGAAGTAGCTCAATCAAGAGAAGGTATTGTCATCTCTCAAAGGAAGTATGCTCTAGATATTCTAAAAGAGACAGGTATGATTGATTGCAAACCCGTGGACAGATCCTATGGATCCAAATTTGAAGTTAATGGCGGGACAGGGTGAAGTTTTCTCCGACCCGAAAGATATAGAAGACTCGGTTGGGAAACTTATTTATTTGACGATTACTAGACCCGATTTGTCTTTTGCAGTTGGTGTTGTCAGCCAATTTATGCAAGCTCCTTGTGTGGATCATTGGAATGCTATCATTCGAATCTTAAGATACATTAAAAAAGCTCCGGGACAAGGATTATTATATGAAGATAAGGGAAATACCCAAATTTTTGGGTACTCGTGATGCTCGATCGAGCTGGATCTCCTATGGATAGGCGTTCCATTACAGGCTATTGTGTTTTTATTGGAGGAAATATCATTTCATGGAAAAGCAAAAAGCAAAACGTTGTTGTCCGATCCTCTGCTGAAGTCGAATATAGGGCAATGGCGTCTCTTACTTGTGAACTTGTTTGGGTAAAACAATTCTTGCAAGAATTGAACTTCGTGAGATTCAATCTATGAAGATGTATTGTGATAATCAAGCTGCTCTTCACATTGCTTCCAACCCAGTATTTCATGAGAGGACTAAGCATATTGAGATTGACTGTCATTTTATTCGGGAGAAGTTGTTGACTAAAGAAATTTGTACTGAGTTTGTTGGTTCCAATGAGCAGCTTGCAGATGCATTAACAAAATCTTTGAGAGGACCTCGAATGGAATTCATTTGTTCCAAGCTTGGTACATTCAATTTGTATGCTCCAGCTTGAGGGGGAGTGTTGAAGTATTTATTAGATTAAGTGTATCATGTTGGACATTTATGAGATTAGTTGTAGACCTAGTTCCTAGAATGCATCTGTTTATCTTCTCTAGGATTAATCATGTCTCTCTATTAATTGTATCTCTGAATCTGTATTTTTATCTCCTATAAGTAAGAGAACACAAGAAGATGATTGCAGACTCTCAAAATCAGTTCTTTATTTTCTTTTTTCTATTTCAAGTACCTTGAACAAAATGCAAGTACGGTGTTTCCTGATAAAGCTAAATAGTGGAAGATAACTAATTTTCAATTTTGTGAACTACTATGGCAGTACGTGGATCCCAAATTATTGGGTACTCTTAGATTATTTAAACTTGCAACTCCTTTTGGAAAAAAACTCAAAATATCTTTGCAAATGATATTTAACGTTTGTATGACTCTGCAAATAGACTTACATCCTTTTATATGGTGATGATACTCCATGCCATGCATCCTGATTTCGAACATGTTAGAGATCAACTGCTAACAGGGCATGAAGACCCATCTATGGAAAGCCTGACCATTCGTCTTCTTCATGTTCCTACTTTTCAAAAACCAGAACAAGTAGAGCGTCAGATATGAGAAAATAAGAGAAATATTATAATATTTGGGTGTGCCTTCATAACCCAAATCACCTCGTATTTATAATAGAAGGTTATTGAAATACTTTGATTAAAGGGGATATGAAAATATTAACTTTTAGAAGTTACAACTCATAGATAAATACAACTAATTAATATCAATCTAGTAAATATAAATCTTGTGAATCTAACAAAAGAATTTATGTGTATAAATTCTAAATTGACGAAGTGGGGACCATTTCCTTGGCAAAGATAAATGGGTGCTACTTCCTAAATACTACTTCCTAAATACTACTTCATTCATCGTGTGTTACATGAATTGCATGTTATTCCGGTAATAAAATCCCATGAAGTAATGAGGCCGGACGTAAGAAATCATACTTATAGTTATAATATGTATATTTGCTTAATTATTTGGGAAAATCTTTTGTTTCTAAAACAAACCAATAAAAATAAAACTAACTTTCTCGTAAGTTTTTTATTGTAAATTATTTTAAATACAAAAAAAGTAACCCAAATACAGTTAGACCGACATGGAGACTGGACCAGATTGCGCAAACCTTGGAACCCTTTGTGATAACAATGGAAAAAGAGAATTCACGAACAATTGTAATGATGAAGGAATTCACACATAGTTTAGTACTAAAAGAATTAGTAAGTGATGCAAATATGAGTGACAAAGTTGTAAAGGGGCCCAATAGATTTGTCAAAGTATATTCTAGAAGGCCCATATAGGGGTTAGGCCTTGTGGAGAGAGGGAAATGAGAGAATATTTTGTGTAACTAACTCAGCTTACTCGGCAAAGTTAGTGGGTGGGAGAGAGAAGGAACTTATTGAGGTAAGTACGTGGGGAAGGGGAGGGGGAAAAGGAGAAAAATAGGTTGTGGGTGGGTTCTAGCGATTCCTTTGCTAGAATACATGTTTCATCTCTTATATACAAATAATACAAACAAATTTCTATACATTTGATCAAAATTTATTTACTCTTAATAATCACCTATCAATTGGAATTTAGAAGAAGGTCGATTTTGTTTGTTCCGAGAGAGATAAATGGTGCGGTCCACGGTGACGTCGATAGACATACGAGTTGAGGCCTTGGAATGTGAGCTCCAATAGATTAGGGTAGAGGGACAAAATCAAATGGAAGAGTTTCGCCAATTGATCGAGAACCAACAACAAAGACGAAGGGGGAGATCGCCTCGACAAAATCACGGAGGAAGCCAAGAATGGAGTCGCACACCCTCACACTCGATATCGCAACTAAGTCGAGGCAGTCATGTGCGACGACATTATACCGCTGGTAGGAAGTTGGAGATTCCAATATTCAATGAGGAAGAAGCTTATGGGTGGTTGGTGAAGGTTGAGAGGTACTTTCAGATTAATAAGGTGTTCAAGGAAGAACGTTTGAATGCACTAATGATTACATTGGAGGGACGTGCATTGAACTGGTATTAGTGGTGGGAAGAACAGACCATTGCCAGGAGTTGGGAAGAATTTACACAGTGCTGTAATTAGGAGGTTTCAACCAAGATTAGTTCAGAACCCAATTGGTCCGATACTAAGTGTGAGACAAATCGGAACAGATGATGGAGTATAGGGAGCAATTTGAGATGTTGGCTGCACCTCCGAAAAGAAATGAGAGGGTGTTGTTTTCGAGCATCTTTCTCAACGGTCTAAAGGAGGTGATACAAGTTGAGCTAAAGTTGTATGAGACACATACTTTAACGGAGTTGATGGACAAAACCATGCTCTTATTGAGAAGAAAAATAATGCAACATGGGGGGGGCAGATGATGAATAAGTGGAAGGTGGGGTCTAGTAGTTGGGGAAGTGATCCAAGAAGGAGTAAAACTTATGTGACAAAGCACAAAGACCATGTGGAGGCCCAAATTGAGAATAAACCCAATGTAGGGGTGTGGATAGTAAGAAACCTGAATTTGGAAAAAGATTGACACAGGAGGAGTTGAGAGAATTGAGCAGGGTTTTGCTTTAAGTGTGGAGAAAGATGGGGTCATGATCATGTTTGTAGACTCAAGCATTTTACACTAGAATTAGTAGAAAGTGAATCTGAGGAAGGGAAGAAAAAGTAGAAGAGGAAATGAAGCAAGAGGGGAAAGTGCTGCAACTATCCTTGAAAAGCACTCAAGGCCTCACTTCTTATCATTCTTTCAAAGTATGGGGCACATTAAAATAGCGGTTAATGTTAATTTTGATTGACTAAGAAGCATTTGCTAATTTCATATCTTCCCAATTAGTAGAAAAACTGGGATTAGAGCTATCTACAACTCCCAGATACACTGTGGAGGTAGGAAATGGGGATCAAGTGGTGCAAAAAGGGTGTTGCCAAGAATTGAAGTTGCAGGTCCAAGGTGTAGAATCGAAACAATTTTTATTTTTTTTTAATGACCTTAGGAGGTTCGGAGGTGGTATTAGGGATGGAGTGGGTTGAAAGTCCCACATCGCCTAATTCATGTCATGTGATATGGTTTAAATACTTGTTGGGCTACTTCACATATTGTCAATTGGTTTTATGTTAGAACCTTAATATGGTATCAGAACTGTTGAAAGTCCCACATCGCCTACCTCATGTCATTTGGTATGGTTTAAATACATGTTAGGCTACTCCACATATTGCCAATTGGTTTTATGTTGGAACCTTAACTTGGTATCAGAGCAGGTTGGTCCTGCTCTGCCTATCCGGCCACCGTCCAGCTACCATCCGGCCATTTCTGGTCACCGTCCAGTCATTTTCGATCACCGTCCGGCCATTTCCGGTCATCGTCCGACTATTTTCCGGTCATCGTCCGACCATTTTCCGGTCATCGTCCGACTATTTTTTGTCCCCGTCCGACCATTTTCCGGCCACCGTCCGGTCACTTTCTGGTCACTTTTCGGCAACCGTCAGTCCCCCGTCAATTCACCTTTTTTTGCTGTCATCCGACGACTTTCCGACCACCTTCCAGTAACCTTCCGGCTATCTTGGGTGTTCTTTTTCTTACAGGTTCCATTGTCTCCATCTTATATCTACATTATTTAAAACATGTCGTTAGGGCCCACAACCTCCTTTTCCGGAACTCCCACGATAACGGCTGAGAAATTAAATGGAAAAAATTACATGTCTTGGTCCTCTTCAGTGGAACTTTGGTTCCTTGGATAAGGGTTTCACGATCATCTAGAAGAAGACGGAAGTAAGATACCAGAAGATCAGGCTCAACAATGAAAAAATCTTGATTATCAACTGTGTGCTCTACTGTGGCAATCAGTAGAACCAAATATTTTGAACACTCTCAGATCCTTCAAAACATGTAACACTTTCTGGAAAAAAGCTCAGAATATCTTCGCAAATGATATTTAACGCCTCTATTATTCCGCTAATCGATTAACCTCTCTCAAGCAAGTGGATAAAGATATGATGACCTTTATTGCTGAAGCTCAATCAGCAGTTGAAGAATTAAAGTTCCTAGAGGTGGATTCGTTAGAGGAGATAAAACAAAAGTTGGATAAATTCTATATGGTTATGACTCTCCGGGCCATGAATTCAGAATTTGATCATGTTAGAGATCAAATTTTAACTGGACAAGAAGTTCCTTCTATGGAAAGTTTAACTACAAGACTGCTTCGTGTTCCAACTCTCAAAGGAAAAAATAATCAAGAACTTGTTGAATCTTCTGCTATGATTTCTACCCGTGGAAGAGGAAGTCGCGGCACTAGAGGAGGACGTGGAGGTAGAGGACGTCCTCAGTGCACTCATTGCAAGAGAATGGGTCATACAGTGAAAAATTGTTACTCTTTGCACGGTTTTCCTGACAAAACTGTCAATTTTTTCAAATCTGAAATGGTTGAACCTAAGTTCTCTCACGAAGAATATCAGGAATATTTGAGGTTGAAATCCAGTAATCTAGCACAGTCATCAACAACCCCAAATTCATCTACAGCTTGCATTTCACAATCTGTGGAAAGTCAAAATCCATGGATTATTGACTCAGGTGCTTTTGATCACATGTCTGGTAATGCCTCTTTGTTCTCTTCTCTCTCATTTCCTAAAACTCCTCATCTTATAACCTTAGCCAACGGATCTAAAGTAGCCTCTAAAGGAACTGGTCAAGTCTCCATTTCTCCGTCTTTAAACTTAAAATCTGTTCTTTTTGTTCCTTCATGTCCCTTCCGTCTCATTTCCTTAAGTCAATTAACCAAATTATTGAATTGTTCAGTAATCTTTAATGCCAACTCTTTTGTTATACAGGAACGTGGTACGGGTCGACAAATTGGCGAAGGACATGAATCTGGAGGCTTATACTACCTTGGGACTAAATCATCTGTATCTTGTGTTGCATCATTGTCTGCAAAATTATTACACGAACGTTTAGGGAACCCTCACTTATCAAGATTAAAAAAAATGGTTCCTGAACTTCAGACTCTTCAAGATTTTGAATGTGAATTATGTCAACTAGGTAAACATACTAGGTCCTCTTTTCCTAAACGTTCTGAATCTAGATGTGACTCTGTCTTTTCTCTTGTTCATTCTGATATTTGGGGTCCTAGTCGTGTCTCATCCTTTGGCTATAGATATTTTATTACCTTCATTGATGAGTTTTCTAGGTGTACTTGGATTTATCTAATGAAAGACCGTTCTGAATTATTACCTATCTTTAAGTCTTTCCTTAACGAAATCAAAAATCAATTTAGAAAAATAATCAAAGTTTTACGAAGTGATAATGCCAAAGAATACTTTTCTACTGATTTTTCCACTCTCTTAAGCTCCCAAGGCATTTTACACCAGTCTACTTGTCCTCACACACCACAACAAAATGGTATAGCAGAATGAAAAAATAGACATTTGGTTGAAACTGCTCGTACCTTATTACTTGGTGGAAATATGCCCGTTCATCATTGGGGAGATGCTATTCTTACTCCATGTTTTCTCATTAACAAAATGTCATCTTCTTCTCTTAACAATAAAGTTTCACACTCTATTCTATTGCCAAAGGACCCACTTTTTCATGTTTCTCCTCATGTATTTGGTTGCGTATGTTTTGTTCATGATATGTCTCCAGGTTTAGATAAACTATCTGCTAGAGCCATCAAATGTGTCTTCTTGGGATATTCTCGTCTTCAAAAAGGATATCGATGTTATTCTCCTGAAACCAAGAGGTACTACATGTCTGCTAATGTCACTTTTTTTTAGTCAACTCTCTTCTTCCCTTCTTCTATGCAGGATATTAGTTCGGTCCAAAATGTCCTACATATACCCTTAGTGGAGCCATTTGTACCTCCTCCTCCTGACACCCAAAATTCCACACAAAATACACTGGAATCCTCATCACTGCCTCTTATTACCTATCAACACAGGAGCCAAATGATCAGTCCCATGTCCCAAGATGAGTCTTCCTCAGCAGATCCTTCTCAATCATCCCTTGATACCACGATTCTTGATAATGATGACTCAAGTTGGCCCATTGACATTCGCAAAGGTACTCACTCTGCTCGTAATCCACATCCCATTTACAATTTTCTTAGCTACCATAGATTGTCTCCTTCCTATTTTTCTTTTGTTTCTTATGTATCCACTATTACTATTCCAAAAAATGTGAAAGAGGCACTTGATCATCCTGGATGGCGACAAGCCATGATTGATGAAATGCAGGCTCTTGAGCACAATGTTACATGGAACTTAATTCCTCTTCCACATGGGAAGAAGATTGTTGGTTGTCGTTGGGTCTATGCCATTAAAGTTGGACCAAAAGGTGAAGTTGATTGACTCAAAGCTAGATTAGTAGCAAAAGGCTACACTCAGATCTATGGCCTTGACTACAGTGATCTTTTTTCTCCTGTGGCCAAAATGACTACTGTTCGGCTTTTCTTTGCTATGGCAGTTATTCGTCATTGGCCTCTTCATCAGTTAGATATCAAGAATGCGTTCTTGCATGGTGATCTTGAGGAACATTATATGGAGCAACCTCCTAGTTTTATTGCTCAAGGGGAGTCTAGTTTGGTTTGTAAGTTACACCGTTCTCTCTATGGTCTCAAACAATCTCCACGTGCTTGGTTTGGAAATTTTAGTCACATTGTTCAAAGTTTTGGATTAAAATGAAGTGAAGCAGATCATTCTGTTTTTTATTATATTGCTTCAGGAAAATGTGTTTATTTAACTGTATATGTAGATGATATAGTTATTACAGGGGATGATGTTGATAAAATTTCTCGGCTAAAGAAACATTTATGCAATCACTTCCAAACTAAGGATCTTGGTTGTCTCAAATACTTTCTAGGGATTGAAGTGACTCAATCAAAAGAAGGCATCGTAGTCTCCCAAAGAAAGTATGTTTTAGATATCCTGAAAGAAACAGGCATGATTGATTGTAGACCAGTAAACAGCCCTATGGATCCAAATCATAAATTAATGGCAGATCAGGGTGAACCGCTCTCTGATCCTGAGAGATATAGAAGACTTGTTGGGAAACTCATTTATCTCACCATTATCAGACCTGACCTATTTTTTGCCGTTGGAGTTGTGAGTCAATTTATGCAAAATCTGCGTACTGATCATTGGAATGTTGTCGTTCACATCCTAAAATATCTCAAAAAAGCTCCAGGACAAGGTCTATTGTATGAAGATAAAAGGGGTACCCAAATATCTGGGTACTGTGATGCTGATTGGGCTGGATCCCCTATGGACAGACGCTCCACTACAGGATATTGTGTTCTCATTGGAGGCAATATTATTTCTTGGAAAAGTAAGAAACAAAATGTAGTGGCCCGGTCTAGTGCTGAAGCTGAATATAGAGCAATGGCATCTCTCACTTGTGAACTAGTGTGGGTGAAACAATTCCTTCAAGAACTGAAATTTTGTGAGATTTAACAGATGAAGATGTATTGTGACAATCAAGCAGCTCTCCACATTGCCTCTAATCCGGTGTTCCATGAAAGGACCAAACATATAGAACTTGATTGTCATTTTATTTGTGAAAAACTGTTGTCTAAAGAAATTTGCACTGAATTTGTCGGGTCCAATGATCAACTTGCAGATGTGTTGACAAAGTTTTTAAGAGGACCTCGAATTGAATTTATTTGTTCCAAGCTTGGCACATACAATTTGTATGCTCCAGCTTGAGGGGGAGTCTTAGAATTATTATTAGTTAGTGGTTAGTGGTCAGTGGTTGGTAGTTGTTAGTAGTTGGTGGTTGTTGTTTTAAATGTTGTAATCCTATATATATATGAGATCATAGAGTGGAGTAATGTATCCCACTAAATTAGAAATCTTCTTTTCACTCTCTTTACTCTCTTAACATGGTATCAAAGCCAAAGCCTAACATCTTTCCGGTTATTGTCATGGGTCAAAAAAGTTGTCCTTTAGTTGGGTCAATAGTACCCTTTGCCTGGTCCGACAGGCTTCGTGGAGGGGGCATATTGAAAGTCCCACATCGCCTACCTCATGTCATTTGGTTTGGTTTAAATACTTGTTAGGTTATTTCACATATTGCCAATTGATTTTATGTTGGAACTTTAACAAGAACCAAAGCTAATTTCTTTTTTGTTATTGTTTTGGGCCAAAAAGTTGTCCTTAAATACCCTTTGCCTAGTCCGGCAGGCTTTGTTGGAAGAGGGGTGTTGGAAGTCCTACATCGCCTACCTCATATCGTGTGGTATAGTTTAAATACTTGTTAGGACTTGTTAGGTTATTTCACTTATTGCTAATTGGTTTTATGTTGGAACCTTAACAAAGTGGTTATCCGGTTTGGGGAATGTCAAAGCCATCTTTAAGCATTTAACTCTTAAATGGAAGCAAGGAGGAAAACAATTGGTAATAAAAGGAGACCCTCTCTTTGCCGTAACCAAAGTTCGTGGAAAGCTTTGATTAAAGTAGTGCAGGAAGTGGGAGAAGGTTATATGACCTAGTACCAAGCTATCAAGGGCCCTGCGAGCAGTCCAGTAACTGAAAACAATGAGGTAAATCGACTTTAACAACATTTTCGACTGTGTTTCAAGAGCCAATTGGTTTACCCCATAAGCGTTTGCATGATCATATTATTTCTCTTAAAGAAGGAGCCCCCATACCTAATATTTTACCCTATAGATATCCCTATTATACAAAAAAAAAAAAAAAATAGATAAAATAGTAAATTAAATGTTAAAAGCTGGGATTATTAGGCCAAGTATCAACCCTTTCTCTAGTCCTGTGATATTAGTGAGGAAAAAAGATGGGGGATGTAGGTTCTGTGTTAATTATAGAGCCTTAAACAAGCACACAATTCCAAACAAATTTCTTATTTCCAAAATAGATGAGTTGTTGGATGAATTAGGGATTGTTGTAGTGTTTTTGAAATTAAATTTAAAATTTAGGTATCATCAGATTAGAATGAAAAAGACAGACATTCCAAAGACTGCTTTTCAAACGCATGAAGGACATTTTTAGGACCCAGCAATTGGCCCACGGGCCTAAGATATGGAACGTTTACGTGAGAAGGAATAAAGGAAAAAAAAAAGATGTGAGGAGGTTTAGTGAGTTGGCAAAGAGAGAAAAAGAGAAAACAGAATAGTTAGTTACTGATGGTAACAAATAGCATACGTGCTACGGGTGGGGGGTATCTTTTGGGAACCATTTCAGTTTGTTGAGAATGGAGAGCGTTTTCTCTCTGTAGGGGACCGACTCTGTGGCAGTCGTTCATCCAGACTACTGTAATTTTCCTTATTACATAAATAATACACATTCTCATTTCAGTCATATTTCATTCACTGTTTCATTATTTTACTGTCCACTTTGTTTTGGCGGTTCTGGTTTGCATCAAACTGGTCTGACCTGCCGGATACAATGGAGGGAAGAGGTCAGTGTAATAGGGATAAGGGTTCAGTTGGATGCCACCGAAGAAGATGGAGGCCAAGGTAGCAACTCTGGAGAACGAGGTCGCAAATCTACGATCCACTCTGGTTGCAATGCAATCCAAGGCGAAGGAGAACCAGACGAGGCTAATTACAATGCTTACCAAGACATTGGAGGATACTCGGATGGAGCATAAGAAAGAGGAGGAGGAGTCACCTGAGAAGGGGAAAACAAGTTTGACCTTAGGATGGAAGAAGTTACAAGGAGAATCGCTTAGCGAGTTTCGTCAATCAATGAAAAGGGAGGATTTGTCGATGTTTGACGGTGATGACCCAGCAGGATGGACCTCTCGAGCAGAGATCTATTTTCAGGTGATGGAGACGAGTCCAGAGGTACAGGTGAACCTTGCTCAGTTGTGTATGGAAGGGCCTACAATCCATTTCTTCAACTCTGGTTACAAACGAGCCTGATCTGAATTGGAAAATTCAAGTGTGAGCTGCTAGAGTGGTATGGAGGAGTAAGTGAGGGTGATGCGTTCGAGCAACTGGCGGCGCTTCAGCAAAAGGGAAGTGTCGATGAGTATATTCGGGAGTTTGAGAGGTTGACGGCTCAGGTGGGAAGTTTGCCCAACAATCAATATTTCGGCTACTTCATTCACGGGTTGAGGATGGAGATTTGAGGAAGAGTGCGCAGCATGCGTACATTAGGGTCGATGTCTCGTTCTCGCTTAATGACCTTCGTGAGAGCCATCGAGAGCGAACTGCATGACCAAAATCGTATCCTAGGAGGAGGAAGGAATACTCGAGGGAGGACAAGTTACGATTCGAGAATGTTTAACCGACCCAGTACAAATAACCCAGTTAGTTCTACAGGAATGGGCTGGCACTCTGGATCTTATTGGGTTATGGTAGGAGGCAGCAAAATAGATGTGGGGTCAAAACAAGTTGGGTCAGCGTCCAAATCTGGCTCATCGGTGGAAAACAAAGGTCCCCAATCCAGAGACAGGAGAGTCAGGCATCTTTCATATCAGGAGCTTTTAGAACGCAAACAAAAGGGGTTGTGCTACAAATGCGGAGGGAAATTTCACCCGTTGCACCAATGCCCCGACAAGCTACTGAAGATTATGATCATGGATGAATTAGAAGGCGCAGAGACTGAGGGCGATGTACTAACTGCAGAAGTTGATGACGAAGAGTGAAGTCGATGGGGAATGTAGCATCTAAAGTATGGGGGAATTTGCTTGCAGAACAGGAGAGGATTTAGTCATGCTGTTTGGTTTGATGAATGCACCATCAACATTTCAAGCTTTAATGAATGAGATTTTTAGAGGAATGTTGAGGAGGTTTATTCTTGTTTTTTTTTTTTTTAAGACATCTTGATTTATAGCTCTGATTGGGAGACACATTTACTGCATTTAATGGAGGTTCTAAAGGTATTGCAACGACATAAACTGGTAGCTAACAAGAAGAAATGCTCTTTTGGTCAGTCATCAGTGGAGTATTTGGGACACATCATCTCCATGGGTGATGTGGCAATGGATCCAAACAAAGTGAAGAGTGTCTTACAATGGCTAGTACCAAAAAATGTGAAAGGAGTCCGAGGTTTTTTGGCTTTGACGGGTTACTATAGAAAATTTATCCAGGATTATGGGAAGATTGCAAAACCATTAACTGAACTCACAAAGAAAGAAGGGTTCAAGTGGAATTTGAGGGCTCAACAAGCTTTTGAGTTTTTGAAGACAAAGCTTACAACAATACCGGTTCTGACATTACTTGATTTTATTCAAAAATTCATTATGGAGTGTGATGCATCTGGTCACAGAGTAGGAGCAATCCTCACCCAAAATGGCAAACCTATAGCTTATTTCAGCAAGAGTGATCGAAACCTTGCCAAATCAGCATATGAAAAAGAATTGATGGCAGTTGCCTTGGCGATTCAACATTGGAGGCCCTACTTGTTAGGAAGAGCATTTACTGTATGCACTGACCAGAGGAATTTAAGACAGTTGTTGGAACAACGGATTTCTACTACTGACCAACAGAAGCCAAATTACTGGGCTACCAATAGTAATAGATGAGGGTCATATGAATTCAATGGTTTTCTATCCTATCTGGGTAGACAGCAGCCAGGTGGTGGATGAAGTTCACAACGATGTATTCTCGAAAAGTATTATCGCTGATTTATAGCAGGATGCAAATTCCAGACCGGGGTTTTCTTATAAGAATGGTATTCTGTTTTATGGGGACAGATTAGTGCTTTCTGCTCAATCTTCTCTGATTCCTCAATTATTAAAGGAATTTCATGCAACCCCACAGGGAGGACACTCAGGGTTCTATAGAACATATCGAAGGATGACAACCAATCTGTATAGGAGTGGAATGAAGAAAATGATCTAGAAGTTTGTTAGGGAGTGCAATATATACCAAAGACAAAAATACATGGTCACATCCCCTGGTGGATTATTATAGCCTTTAGGTATTCCGGAAATGATTTGGGAAGAAGTGTCCATGGATTTTATTACAGGGTTGCCTAAATCTAAAGGCTATACTGTCATTTTTTTGATAGTAGACAGGCTATCTAAATATGGCCATTTTATTCCCCTCAAACACCCGTATACAACTCATTGCATGGAATTCCCAAAGCGATTATCAGTGATAGAGATCCTATTTCTGTGAGTAAATTTTGGGGAGAATTGTTCAAATTGCAAGGCACTCAACTTAAGATGAGTTCAGCTTATCATCCGGAAATTGATGGTCAAACTGAGGTTGTGAACAGGTATATTGAGACTTTCCTACGTTGTTTTATTGTTTATTAGCCCCGAACATGGATCCAGTGGGTGCATTGGGCAGAGTATTGGTATAACACCACTTTTCATGCGACTACAGGGGTAACACCCTTTGAAGTAGTCTATGGAAGGCCACCTCCAGTGCTTACCCATTTTCTTCCAGGTGAGACGAGAGTAGAAGCAGTACAACAAGTATTACTGGATCGTGATGAAGCTTTGAGACAATTGAAATACCACTTGCAGCAAGCTCAGTCTAGGATGAAGACCCAAGCAGATAAGAAGAGGACAGAACGGAGTTTTAACATTGGTGACGGGGTATTTTTGAAACTGCATCCCCACAAACAAAAGATTGTCGCTTCCCGGATTAATGCTAAGCTTTCAGCATGATATTATGGTCCTATTCAGGTGCTGGAACGTTTGGGAGCCGTGGCTTATAAGCTTAAGCTTCCTGATTCTTCTAGGATACATCCTGTGTTCCACGTATAACTACTGAAGCACGCTGTCGGGGATTACCCAGTGGAGACGGATTTACTAGTCGAAATGGACAGCGAGTTTCATGATAATTTTGAGTCTGCTACTGTTTTAGCCACTAGAGTTGTGGTCAAGGAAGGGGAGAATGTTAATCAACTGTTAGTATAGTGGAAAGGCAAACCAACATAAGACGCAACATGGGAGGAGGAGTTTACTATTTGCAGCCAGTTCCCAAACTTCAGCCTTGAGGACAAGGCTGATTTTGCAGGAGGGGGTAGTGTTAGGACCCAGCAATTGGCCCATGGGCCTAAGATATGGAACGTTTCCGTGAGAAGGAATAAAGGAAAAAAAAGATGTGAGGAGGTTTAGTGAGTTGGCAGAGAGAGAAAAAGAGAAAACGGAATAGTTAGTTACTGATGGTAACAAATAGCACACGTGCTGCGAGTGGGGGTATCTTTGGGGAATCATTTCAGTTTGTTGAGAATGGAGAGCGTTTGCTCTCTGTAGGAGCCCGGCTCTATGGCAGTCGTTCATCCACACTACTGTAATTTTCCTTATTACATAAATAATACACATTTTTATTTCTGTCATATTTCATTCACTATTTCATTATTTTACTGTCCACTTTGTTTTGGCGGTTCTGGTTTGCATCAGACATTATGATACTTGGTTATGCCATTTGGCTTAACCAATGCTCCCAGCACCTTTCAAGCTTTGATGAACCAAATTCTGAAACCTTATCTTAGGAGGTTTGTGTTGTTATTTTTTCATGACATCTTGATATACAATAGTGATATGAAGACTCATTTCAAATATTTGCAAGTGATTTTGAGATTTTAAGAGAGAACCAGTCGGTCGTTAACTACAAGAAATGTTTATTTACTCAAGCAAAGCTGGAATATTTGGGCCATATAATTTCTAATGAAGGGGTAGCAGCGGATCCTAACAAAATCAGTGCTATGGTTAATTGGCCAACTCCAACAAACAAAAATGGGTTGAGGGGATTCTTGGGTTTGATTGGATATTACAGGAGGTTCGTGAAGGATTATGGGAAAATAGCTTGGTCCCTAACTCAATAGCTTAAGAAGGACAGTTTTAGATGGGGTCAACAAGCTTTTGAATTCCTCAAAAAAGCCATGACTACACTGCCTGTTCTTGCTGTCCCTGATTTTGGGAAAAACTTTATTTTGGAGACTGATGCTTCAAGCAATGGAATTGGAGCAGTGTTGATGCAAGAGGGAAGACCAGTAGCTGATGAGTCATTCACTATCTGATATGGCTCAGAGTAAATTAGTGTATGAGAGGGAATTGATGGCGATTGTAATGGCTGTCCAAAAGTGGAGACATTATTTGCTAGGAAGGCGTTTCATAGTACACACTGATTAGAAAAGTCTAAAATTTCTGGCAGACCAACGTCTAATGGGAGAAGAGCAACAAAAATGGATTTTCAAATTCATGGGTTATGATTTTGAAGTGAAATATAAGCCTAGACTTGAAAACAGAGTTGCAGACGCCTTATCCAGAAAATTTCAATATACTGCACTATCCATAGCGCAAACTCAATAATAGGAAGGATGGAAGATGAGGTAATGGCTGATGCACAGTTCAGCAAAATTGTACAAGGGTTATGAAGCCAAACAGGGATTTTCCATGGATATGACAAGGGAAGCTATTGTACAAGGGCAGATTGGTCCTTCCCAAGAATTCTCCTAAAATTAATGGGATATTACATGAATTCCTTGATTCAGCCTTAGGAGGACATTTGGGTTTTTCAGAACTTTTAAGAGAATTTTTGGGGTGGTGTTTTGGGAAGGAATGAGACAAAAAAATTCAGTAATATGTTCAGGCTTGCGATATATGTCAGAGAAATAAATATCAAGTCTTGAATCCAAGAGAGTTGTTACGACCTCTCCCTATTCCAACACAAGTTTGGAGTTATGTATCAATGACTTCATTGGAGGGTTAGAGAGAAATCAGATTTTGGAGGACTTCAAAGAACATTTGGTCAAAGCACAAAGCAGGATGAGGCAGAAAGAAAATCAACATAGAAAAGATTGGAATTTCAAGTAGGAGAGTTGGTTTTCCTAAAGATACAACCATATAAGCTGAAACAATTAGCCAAGAGAGTTAATCAGAAGCTGAGTCCCAAATCTTATGGGCCGTTTGAGGTTCTAGAGAGAATAGGGTCTGCGGCTTACAAATTGAAACTACCAAAAGAGAGCAAAGTACACCTTGTATTTCATGTCTCCCTTCTGAAAAAAACTGTAGCGGCTGTCACCAATGTACAACCCTTACCCCCTTTCCTAGCTGATGATTGGGAGTTGAAAGTTACTCCTGGAGAAGTATTGGCCGTGAGGCAAAATGAAAGAGGAAAGCTGGAAATATTGGTGAAATGGAAACATCTTCCTAATTGTGACAACAACTGGGAACTATTGGAGGAAATTAAAGTTGCATTTCCTGATTTTCACCTTGAGGACAAGGTGGGTCTTGAAGGGGAGGGTATTGATGCAAATACGAGTGACAAAGTCTGAAAGGGGCCCAACAAATTTGCCAAGGTATATTCTAGAAGGCCCAAACAGGGGATAGGCCTTGTGGAGAGAGGGAAAGGAGGGAATATTTTTTGTAACTAACTCAGCCTAGCTGGTAGAGTTAGTGGGAGGGAGAGAGAAAGTACTTATTGAGGTAGGTACGTGGGGGAAGGAGAGGGGGGAAAGGAGAAAAATAGGCTGTGGGTGGGTTCTAGCTATTCCTTTGCTAGAAGAATACATGTTTCATCTCTTATATACAAATAATACAAATATATTTCTATATATTTGATCAAAATCCATTTACTCTTGATAATCACTTATCAGCAAAAATAAGCTTGTCATTTGTGGCTAAATCGTGGTCAGTACTTAGCAACTTTCAGAATGGAATTTGATGTGTTGAATATTCGAGGCAAATTAACGGAAGAATACATCAACATCATGCAACACAATTATGGACTGATATTGAAGGCTAAGACCAGGAAGTCCCTACTTTTGACAATGTAGAAAATAGTGAATTGAAGAGAAGAAAATAACTATCTATAAATCAAAGCTTTGATTTACTAGGTCACAGGAGACACAGGGCGTAGATGTGAGGAATGTAGAATTGGATACTGACGGATTAGATCACAATACCGGAGTTGAAGCATAATCAACCTATAGTCCTCTGGGAAACTAGGATTCCTAAAATATCCCTATAGTATCAATCATGTCTCTTGGAATTGGAACATTTTCCACCATAATTTATATACAAGTGATGATGAGTGATTTGTCTGACAGCCAATAAAGGAAGTTATCTATTTGAATAGGTGTATTACACTTGTCATAAAGGAAGTTATCTATTTGACTTTCCTCATAGGAATGAGGATATGTGGACTAAAAATTAGTGATCAGTTTCTTGACTCCGGAGAAACTTAATAGTTTCTCTCTTATTTTTGTCAGTATCTGTTGATGATTTACTTTTTTCTATTCAAAATTAAAAACTGCATTTCCCTGCATGTTAGGTGGCATATCCTTCATAGATTTCTTTAGAGCTGTAGTCTGTCTATGGAGACTTGATGTAATACATAGATCCTTTTTGGATTGTGCATGTTTTTGGACTGGATTTTTTGTCCATTTTTCTTTGATAAAATTTTATTTGATTTCATTGAAATTTTAACTTCCACTCACATGTAAGGCTTGTACTTGATGTTGACACTGTACTTGTAGCTGGAATTTTCATTTATCCTGGATTTTTCATCGACTTTCAGAAGGAAGAGTGTTCACATGGGGCTGGGGAGGTTCCAATGGGACGTTCTCTGAAGTTGGACATTCTTCGAGTGGACAATTGGTATGCTTCTACTTCTCAAATAATACATATATCCTAGTATTAATAAAAATGTATCAAAGAGCATGTTACACATTCATACACAAGGGTCCAAATGTTAGATTCTATGACAAGGACAATAAAAGAGAACCAAGAATCCAAGAATTTATCTAGATTAACGAGAAATTGTACATTAATCATGAGTTCTGTATGTATAAAATTTGCCGCACGCACACGCAAGCTTTCTAATTGAAGACATATTTCCTTAAAGGAATGTGCGATCTGATATGTCAGACTGATGCATCTCTTAAATTAATTGACTATTTTTTGCATTTAATATTTCCAAGTGCACTAATATCTGCCTTGCGCAACTAAAATAAAGTTTATGCCTTCACTCAGGGTCATGGAAGTGATGTGGACCAGGTAAATCCTACAAGAGTTTGCTTTGAGGAAGACGTGAAAGCGTTGCAAGTTTCATGTGGATTCAATCATACGGGTGCTATACTTGAATATGCGTAATAGGTTGGCTGTACCAATAATACACCATTAATGGTAATTCTTCAAGATTCAGAATGTGACCCGGTGTTTGTTCTAGGCATCACTATATAATGAAATATACATCTTCTAATCCATCCGAGAGGATCCAGGAAGTTGAATGATGCATATACTATACACCTGTTGTTAATACCATTCTTTCTCAGGAATATATATATATATATATATATATATATATATATATATATATATATATATATATATATATATATACAGACAAATAAAGCTTCGTAGATGTACGATATTTGTGTAAAGAATGAGCATAGAGCACTGTTTCAGATAAATTATGCAATGGTTTGGTTGCATAAGGAAAAAGGAAAGTTTCTATTTTTTTTTGGTTTGCTGTGTTAATGGTACTTACCAGAGATAAATGCATATGTCACTAGGTCTGTATTTCAAGAGCATTTGGCCGGATAGTTTAAGTAAATCGTCAGTTGGCAGTGCAATTGTATGAGCCTATATGTTTTGCTAATTGTCACCCTACGCATAGATGCTATCAGCATCACAATTTTAAAGGCATTTTTTTCATTTTCATGTTTAGAGATTCTCACTGCTGTGGCTCTGCAATCCACGGACAAAGTCTTCACATCCATCAAATATGATGCATACTGGAATGGGAATCCCAATAACATGGTACCACGGAGAGATGATTTTTAAAATTTACATTGCAGTTAATCTTTATGGTTTGGTCCTCTTTATTGCACGATATAGGGAGCAATTAATAGTATTGCAGGACAAGTCAAACCCATTGGCCATCTTATTTATTTTTTATACGGATATGACCTACTACCTTTTTTATTACTTTCCTATGTCTATAATATTTATAATTTTTTGTTTTTGCTTTACACCATACAATTTTTGTCCAAGACTATTTTTTGTTAGACCATGTGGATGATTTACTTATAGTACAATTTTTTTAGAAGAGATAAAATCTATTTTATTTAAACTAAAGTAATGTGGGTGAGTGAGACCTTCTATTCGCTCCTTCAACCTTTTACTTTTTAAATTTTGTTTTTTTTACATTGCAGCTGCCATGTTTGAGTTATGTTTGGACCCGTGTGCAATCACCTACTAGTTGTCATTTTAGAATAAAGCTTGAAATAGCGTTTTACATGCAAAATGCAGTCTCAGCTGCTTTTGAATTTTCGTCAAAAGCTTTCAATATCATTCATTAGACTCCATTGTTTGATGAATAATTCTAGATCTTTCTGCTACATTCGTCTACTAATTTATTACTTTGTTTCCGTAGTGTATTTTATATTTCCGAGATATTAATTTATGTAGAGTTTAGGGTTTATTTGTAAAACAGGAAGAGGATTTATAGGAAGATTTAGATTGGGACAGAGGGTTGGAGTAGAGTAAGAGTAGGAAGGATTGAAAATGGAAGAAAGAGAGAGAGTAAAAGTTGAGGTGCGGAAAATGCGGAAAATACATGGGCGGAAGGATGAATAAGTGATGAGGAGTATGATGATCCCATTATTGAATAGAAGGTGCTCCCAACCCTGTCTGATGGGTCCCCATGTCACGTCCTCTTGTCCCCTCTTCCGGGGCCCACCCTCTCCGTACCACTCATTAAATCATATCACCTGCTTCCCCCCAACCCTATCCTAGCCCCCTCTTTCCCTCATCTCTTTCTTTTTTCTTCTTTTTTTCTTCCCTCCATTACATTAATACTTTGCTTTAGAAATGCAAAAGGTGAAAATATATATATGTAAAAATTAATAGAAAATAGATTGTTTGAATGAAGTGAAAGAGATTAAAAATGATAATAAAATAAAATTAATTTATTATAATTAATTTTTTTTTCGATAATTGATTGTATAACATAAAATAATAAAAAGCATTGACCATACGATCCATTATCCTAAAACATATACATTTTTGCGCAAATTTAAAAGAAAAATGTTTAAAAGTGTATTAGTTGCGGAGCTATAAATGAGTCATGTCAAAATTCTTTTTTCAAATCAACTAAAATCGTAATATACTTTTCAACATAATGAAAGTAATTTACTCATTTGCATCTTTACCTTCAAATTCAAACATTTGTTTTGGGCGTGTTGAAACGACAACAAAGACATGGTTAAAGTCATAAACCAAATTAATTCTTTATTGTAATTAAAATTCTCATTTTCTTTCTTTTACACACCGCACTTCGTTAATTAGAGAAGAGAAATAAATAGATAAAAATGATAAAAAAGTGAAATAAAAATGCTAATGAAAATTTCTTCAAGTTTTAGTTCTTTTATTATTTGTATCACACTAAACAAACCCAATATTATTCAACATTTTTATTTTCGCTCCCTTTTCTCCCAGTCCAACCAAACTGTAAGTACACATCTCATCAAGTTTTTTATAATTTTGAAATTTTCATTCTGAATTTGCCACTCGATTCACGATTAATTCCACGAGGGGATCGTAAACAGCAGAGTATTTACTTGCATTTTTAGAAATTGTTGAAGTTTTAAATTAATACACATATATTAAGAACTGTGTAATAAGTGTATCAAGCTAATGCATTAGTCTAAAATTTTTCTTGTTTCATACAAGGCAAAAGATACACCTTATTCTTCGTTTAAGTGTTTTTTAAATATATTGTAAATCTAATATTTCTCTCAAAGATCAGATTTGGTTATTTTGTATATAAATAATGTGAATTGAAATTTGTAAAACATCATTATTTTTAAATTAAAAATATCAAAAAGATAATTAAATTTTTACAAGATGGCAACTCAGCTTTTACTTTCATTTATATAAATTAATGGGTATGAATTATCAATGTCTTTTTTTATTATTACCAATCTATTAAAAATCATATTTATTATGGATTTTAACATAACTATCATCAAAAGTCAATATTAGTGATTTAATATAAAGTACTACTGTATATACATATCTAATATCCAAGTAAAGTGGATGACAACACTCTCAGTGATGGAAAATTAGCCACCTTATTTTTAAATTTAAAATTGTTAATTTTATCTAATTAGTATAAGATAATTGATTATTTATTTAACATAATCAATTATTTATGTATTAAATAATTTATTTATATATTTTTATTTTAGATTATTGGATATATAATGATATGAAGAATAAATTTCTAAATTTTTTATTTTTGGAGTAAGAACTTTTTTTTCCTATATTCTGTAAAAATATTCTTACCCATCTCATATCTAGTTTATATATTTCCATCTTTCTTCATTACCAGATAATTTAAAAAATATCTCATTTTTATTAATTCCAATTCACTTTTTTTCCTTTATTTTCATGTTTGTTCAGTAATAAGTAATAAATTGTCATTTTATTATTATTATTATTATTATTATTATTATTATTATTATTATTATTATTATTATTATTATTTATTGTTTTAGTTTTGAGAGTGGAAGTAAATCCTTGTTTTCATAATAACAATTTTCATCACACTTTTGTGATAACTAAGTAGTATACATGTTGTAGTAGTTAGGATTTTAAATGAGCTAAACTGTTCATAAATTACTCAAACGCGAGTTGTTAATTACTTGTTCAAGTTTATTTGTTAAATTAAATAAATAATTCCAAAAAGTTATTGAATTGCATTTGTGAAAAATTCTAGCTTCTTTTTTAACATATGCTTTAAGAAAAAATTGATATATTTTTTTATTAGTAGATGAGTATTAAAACAATTTTTAGATGCTATAATGATAAATTTGAAAATTAATTTAAGAATTTACTTATAAATAAAACAGTTAAATTGCATAAATGAGTAAAAAAGTCAAACTGCAGTTTTAATATATTTTTTTAACAAGTCCAAATTTAGAGAGCTTGATGTCTCGTTTATACCGTAATTAAATTGCTTATATTCAGAGTCATAATCAATTAGTTGATGTATTTATTAAGTTGAAGCTTCGATAAACTAATTCCCTTAATCCACTTTAAGACAGAATTAAAATATTGAAACAAAGTACACAATTATTTTTTTATTGAGTTATTAGATCATAGAATTTTATTATTACGATAATATTATAAAATAGGTTATTTTACATCTTATTTTATTGATAGAGTTAATTAAGTGTCTCTTAATTGTTAATATAACATCATAATTAATTTTATTAATTTAGAAAATCTCTATTACAAAAAATAATAATATTATAGTATATATTTTTTGAGAAAATATAATAACATTATTATTATAATAATAAATGAATGTTAAAATCTCACTTTATTAGTTGGGTTTTCTAAAATTGAGTTATAAGTTTGGTTGATCTTTGTCTAATTCTAATTGATTTTAAAATTGAATTATGAAAGAATTTTTATTTATATTATTGTGAATATTTAAGAATATCGTATTATTTAGAAGTGGAGATTAATGATAATTTATATAATTTTTTTTTTAACCTTGTTGAATATGTAGAGTAGCCTAACATGTATTTAAACCATACCAAATGATATGAGGTAGGCGATGTGGGACTTTCAACACACCCTTCCAACGAAGCTCACGGACCAGTGCAAAGGGTACTTTGACCCAACTAAAGGGCAACTTTTGGCCCATGACAATAACCTGAAAGATGTTAGGCTTTGACTCGATGTCATGTTAAGGTTCCAACATAAAACCAATTGGCAATATGTGGAGTAGCCTAACATGTATTTAAACCATACCAAATGATATGAGGTAGGCGATGTGGGACTTTCAACACACCCCCTCCAACGAAGCCCGCCGGACCAGGCAAAGGGTACTTTTGACCCAACTAAAGGGTAATTTTTGGCCCATGACAATAACCGGAAAGATGTTAGGCTTTAGCTCTGATACCATGTTGAATATAGGGAAAAAACTGTATAGGGTTAATTTCTCTTATGTGTTTACCACACATAGGACAGTGTATTTATAATAAAGAAAGGTACTCCTCAAAAGAGTAACAGAATACAAATAGGGTAAATAAAAGATATTATTTGATATTGTGATTAAAAATATCTAACAATATCTCAACAGTATCAAACAATATCAACTAATATCTAATCATATCTAACATACCTATTAAGAGCAAAACTGTATTAGATAAGCGTTGAAAAACTAACAGTACCTTAAAGATATAAAATTTCGGAGACGTACTCGATCCCAGACAGAAAATATATAACTGTAAGTTGAATATTAACAAAAATATATATGATTAAATGAAAAAAAAAAAAAGAGGTGATCGGATGGTAGTACCGGTTTTAAAGAGGTGCACGTTATTGGTAGCTAACTTGGTTGGAATAATAAGTAGCATTGGTACGTAAACGAATGGGTGATTTTGTTGTCTGAGCCTCGTTTGGTTTGGTTTCATACAAAAGGTGTTGTTCGTAATTAACTTGCATGCCTTGCATTGGAACTTATCAAACACTCTCCACTGCTTCTTTTTTACTCCTTTTAACTTTTCTTCTACATATTTATCATGTAATCAGACTGTTCACAAACTTACACCTTTTAGAGATAATTTAGCTAAGTTTGAGCTAAATCACGCATTTGATGCTGAAATGACTTTTATGAGCGCCATAGATGCCATGGTTAATACATTAAGAAAAAAGAGAGGATATTGTATAAAGAAAATAGCTGAAAATTGAAGCTGTGAAGTATATATACTGAACTGAAGAGAAGTGAAAAGGGAAAAAGAGAGGAGAGAGTGATTGTATGGTGGTGTGGTTGGCCGTGCGGGTATGCGATCGTACAGGGGAGTTTGAAAGTAGGGGTTGGAAAAGGCTAAAAATAATAAGGTAATCATGAAAGAATCGCATTAAAGCTAACCAGTTTTGTCTTCTTCTCTGTGTTTCTTTGACTCACTGGGAGGCAACTGCCGGTAGCAGGTAACAGGTCGGTTGGTCACCGGCATCACCAGGTCACTCGCATAGGAAATCAAACATTTTTCCTCCTTTTTAACTCCACCACACTCTGCATTATGCATTTCTCTTATTTTTTTTTTATTATCATTCTATAGTCATTACAAATAGTAGGGACGGAGGGGCCTCTCCCAAATCTCAGTCTTAGTCAGATCTTTTGTGGGGTGGTGGTGCTCTTGTCTCCTCAAGTAAATTCGTAATCCTATAATATAATGCATTCGCTAACTACGTTGTCCTTTTCTTTTCTTTTCTCTTTCTTTTCTTAAGAATTTTATCTTTGACCATAACAGTTAATTTAAGTGCCCTTTTGCACAAGCTAATTTGGGAACAAAACATCTGAAAGGGTAACTAAAAAGCGCCATTAGTGTAGTGCGAGTCAGTGTTCTCTCTCTCTCTCTCTCTTGGTGGTCCTATATATAAGAAGCTATAAGCAGGTTAGGGTTTTCAGAATGAGGTGGACAAACACCGAAACGTTGAGTTGAGATGGGTTAGTAGTGTTGAGGGGAATGTTGGCTGGCTCGAGGCTTTTCACATAGGAGGTTCTCACTGGCAAGAACTATAAGGCTTCGGACCAGGCTTCATTCCCCTCAAAACTTGTGTGTTTTTTGTGTTCTTGGATTTGTTTTCATCATGTACCAACTTCAAGCAGAAAGTGGTAATGGTATACATTATGTGTATATGTGTTTGGTTTACCTTGCAAAGGTTAGGTTGAGAGGAATGTTGTCTGGCTCGAGGTCATGGAGGAGTATATATGTGTATGTACTGATATATGTTAAGTGTTACAGTTTTCTGGGTAAATTAATGGAAATTAATTTATACCCTAAATGATTCTCGGACCAGGCTTCATCCCCCCCAGCCAACATTTGCTACTCGCCACAGCTTCTTAATCTGCCTTTGTTTCTGAAGATCCTCATCTTCATAGGATTGGTAAGGCTTTCTGCTCCAATTCTTGAGTTATTTTAATTCGTACATGTGCAAGCTATGTATGTATATGCTGCTTTCTAGTTTTTCACAGAAGCCTCTTCAATTTACAGTTAATTCTTACTAGATTAGAGACTTTCCAGCTTTGAGGTTACATGAAATGTTTTTTTCTATATTTGCTTGTATGAAGGAAGATATATTCAATGGTAAATTTACCCTTTTACTTTCTACCCTTGCTTCCATATACCAGCGAGTGAGTGACCTCATGATGGTTTCTTCCAAGTTTCAAGCTTGAAACGTGCTACACTCAAACTGAGGTCATATGTGTTTTTGATTCTTATTTCAGTTTATTTTACTTCTTGACATGATTGAATCGTTTGATTTTTTTTTTTTCCTTTTTTGGACGAGAAATACAAAGGAAAAAACAAAAAAGAAAGTTACCCAGTTTTCAGCTGGATATACGATGCACATGTAGCTGAGTCATATTGAAACTGGCCATTCTCAATGGATCTCAGAGAGAGAAATATGATATAGACATGCATGCTTCAGCGTCACCAACACCAAAACCAAGTCCAAGTCTCTCTAGTTTTCTGCAACATTAATTTAAGATTATAGCTTTTGACAGATGAGAGAAGATGAATAGGAATGCATTATATTATGACTATTATTTTTATTATTGAAAAATTGGCTAATCAGTCCGGGCTCGAATGTTCATTTCTCTGGACAAGAAAGGTGAAAGCATGTACAGTGAAAACCTATCAGATGTGAAATTTTTTCTTCCTTGCTTTATCTGCAGTACTCTGCCTCTAGGTCTTTCTAGGGTTTCAAACTACAACATCCCTCCCTCTTCTGAAGTCCTTTCAGCCTTTTTTTTTTTTTTTTGAATTAACCTCATTTCAGACAGGTGAGTGAAAATTATAGGGAAGGGAACCTCTCAATTTACTGGGCAAAAAAGGGCATCATTTTCATGAATCTGAATCAAAATTGTACTACAGGTAAATCAACAGTTACCCAGTTAAATTATTGCAGTAAAAAATCTAAAGGGAAGGTTTCATGATCTAACTCATAAAATATTTTATAATTATAACATTTTAAAAATTTAATTACAGATATATTTTCGTTTAATCATATTAGCGCATGTAAGTTTTTGGTAGGACAAGAAACAGTCAGTATACATGCATTTTCTTGGTCCTGAATAAGAAACATGCATTTATTTTTCTTTTTTTCATTACTTATTAGTAACATTATAAATATTATGAATAATTTTTAATTAAATAAACTAAATTATTTTTTACTATTTTTTATGGTTTAATTACTTCGAAGACCATAAACAATGGTAAATTAATATAATGATGATATACATAAGTTACCTGGTGAAAAGAAACCATATATTACAAGAAGTTTGCTGAAAATGTAAAATGACATGTATGTAGAGTGAAGGTGAAGGTTTGAGAATGATAATTAAAATGATATCACAGTGTAGTATTTTGGGAGGTTTTGAAAGGTAACCGTTGAATTTATTAAATTTGTTGTGTAGTGAGATGGCAGGCAAGAGTAGTACTAGTACTTGTAATAAAGGCATAGGTTGGTGAAGTTGTGTTGTGGGGGGAAGATGATTCCCTTGATGAAATAGAAGAGATATGTGTATGTGCTGGAACAGTTAACGAGAAAAAGAAGTGATGACAAGAGAAGCTAGGTATGGATTCTCTGTGCGTGACTCTTTCTAGAGAAGAGATACGTGATGAGGAGGCACAAGCTGATGCAAACTAAACATGGAAAAAGGGAAGTTACTAGTGCTGCCATAGCTTCTCCATGGATCCATCTCCTGTTCTCTATGGATATATACATGTGTGTGTTTTAGTGTAACGTATTTATGGGGCTTTTAAAGTTGTTGAAAGTTCAGAAACCATGTTTGGGAAAGGTCGATGGGAAGAGTGAAATCAGGTTCCAAAGGTCCTTCTCCTTTATGTGATAGTAAAGAAGAGTTTGAAATTGAAATGGGAAAGAAGAAGGATATCAGACCAAGGGAAAGAGAGAGAGAGAGAGAGAGAGAGAGAGAGGAGTAAATGACGACTATCTGACGTTTATTGGGAAATGAAACAGAGAGAAAGAAAGAGCACAGAGACAGAGGTACCCGGGGAACGTTTCATGGCCAACTTGGTCTCTTTAAAGAAGGGAAACCACTGCCAACCTTTATTGTTCACAGTTTCATCATCAATTTATTATCATCTCTACCAACCTAGGTACCATTTTTCCATTTTTTTCAACACAAAATAATAATATTACTCATACTTAAGAATAAAAATCAGTTTTTTTAGTCTAAACATTGAAAGATGTTATTGTATAAAACCATTGTTGAACTTTCTTATTTTTTACAAGAGTACAAGGTACAAACAAATTACACACGCTTTGTTTGGAACGTAAGAAATGTATAAAGATAAAAAAGACAGCGCTGAATTTTATCAAGATTTTTTACCACATTCTATTTGGAAAACAAGAACGGAGTAGAAACGAGCATGAGTTCCATGAAAAATGACAGGCCCCACAATCTATAATTTATTTGGAAGAATGTGTGGAAAAGAAGAATACATTATTCACGACATTTTCCTACGTTAATCCTTTGATTTTTCTGGATGTTAATGTTAATTATAACTGGTAAAAGCAATTAAATGTTAGTTTAAGATTAAGGGTGAGTAACAACTCCAATTACAACATGTGTATGATTGTTCAAGTAAGATATTGGAATAAAATTCAAAGTTTAACAAGAAACAACACAAACTGTGTTTCACACAGCATTTGATTTGAAATGTGTATGTATTTTGGAGGTGTAGGGAAGCATATAATATATGGAAGATTCTGAAACAGACAGAAAGGGAAGAAGAGAGAGAAAGAGAAGGGTGATGGAAAAGGAGAATGAGATTACTTGAGTGGCAAGCACATATGTGTTTGAGGAAGTGATGGGTCCCGTTTGTATGCAACCTTTCTTATCAGTCTCTTCTGCATATTTTGCTCATGTACCCGTTAGTTCCACTTCTTATCTAACGTTCAATACCATGACTCATACACACCTTCAAACTTTAATATCAAGTCAACAATTAAAGTGTCAATCTATTTGTATCAACAAATTTAGGCTAAACAAAATATAGGTGCATAGTACGTTATTATTGTTTGTTTTGGTTATTCACAGGGTTTGGGCAACATGTATACATTATTTTAACATATTTAATGTTACTTTGGATGTGGGGAAACAAGTGTTATAGTTGTGAGTCTGAATATAAGTTAATTAGTTGGTGTTTTTAGATATTCTCTTCTAATTTTACAAATTTCAAGTACTTTTTTTTTTTTAATAACCTAATATTTTTTTATCTTCTCTACTAAAACATAATAAAACTCTCTTAAAACTTAATTTAAATAAAATAAAATAAATTAATATTATCAACGTTCCTCTTTATTTGAATATCTATTTATTTGAATTTGATATTTTTTCTTTTATTTTGCTTGCAAATTTTCCTTTTTTTGTTTATATTTTTTGTCATCTTTTTTTTGTACGAAATCACATTTGTACCTAGTAGCGGATCTTGACCATTGATTATGGGGGTCAAATAATATATTATTAAAAAATAATAAATAAATATAAAAGAGTGAAAGAAGATGAAAGAGTGAGAGGATAAAATTATAAATATATAAGTAAATATATAAAATGATCATTAAGTTTGGGGGCAAAATCATAAATTAAATGAGAGTTACAAAATTGAGGAGAGGTTGTGAGGATAAAATTATAAATATATATGTAAATATATTAAAATTTGGGGGACAAAAATCATAAATTACATGGGAATTACAAAACTTTTGGGGGCACGTCCGCCACTGTCCGTACCGTTGACCCTCTGATGTACGTTAACAACTGTTTATTCATCTATATCTTTATTTTCCTCCTTAACATCAATTTTCTTCGAGAAATATTTTCATCATGTTTGAAAGCAATGAGGGGGAGATTGATGGAAATGTCCTTACATTCTCAAGAGATGATTTTGATGATGATTCAAGTCAACTACATTCAAGTCAACACCATTCAAGATGAATTAAGGACAAGCTGAATTTATGACGTTGGTGAAAATGTGAAATATTTCCCTACATGCCCAAGATATGTTTTTGATAAAGATGATGATTCAAGCAAGTCCAAGATGATTCCTGAAGACTAGATAGAGTCTTAGAATACTGGATATGGAGGTACAAGTTGATGAAGTAATATTATGCATAAGCCTCCAAAGCACAAGTGTGATAAAATTCATAACATGATATTTTTCACTGTCATAATTAATTATGATGCATCAGAAATGGAAAAATAATTTTCTCTATCATAATTGATTATACTGGTAATATAATCAACTATAACAATTCAAATTTAAAAAATATATCCGTTTTAAAGAATAAATATTTTTTAATACATCCTGATTTTCTCTATGATATTATTAATGTCCAACGACCATTTTCTGATGCTATTTTTTTATTTAATTAAGTTTTGATAAAAAATAAAAAACACACAATTACAGAATTTGAAAATACAATTTACATTCAATCAGTTTTGAGAAAAGAATTCTGAGCAAGACAACAGAGATATTTTACACCTTTTGAGAAAACCCTCTTCTCTACTATCTTCTGTGTTTTCATTGTTAATCATACTTGTTATTGGATATTGACATTCTACAGGCTTCTACAATTTGTTGTCTCCATTACCCAGGTATGTCTGTTCTTATTTTTATTACCTTCATCATTTTTGTATTGGTGAAAAGGAGGTGTTTTTTCCCTAGTGTGATTCTAGGGAGGTGTTCATCCTTAGTGGGATTCTAAGGAGGTGTTTTCATCCTTTGATTTGTTCAGAGGAGGTGTTCATCCCTAGTGGGATTCTAGGTTGGTGTTCATCCTTAGTGGGTTTCTAAGGAGGTGATTGTCTTTTTAATTAGTTTACTTTTTACTGGTTCTTCTGTTGACTTGATTGTAATTTGTAAACTGAATTTGAAAGATAGTGAATGGGGAGTCACTCTTGTGTTAAGAGTTGACTGGGAACTGGATATAGGGTTGGCTATACCCGAACCAGTATAAATCTCTGTGTGCTCCTCTCTTTTCCTGATTATATTATTGTTTCCGTTTTATCTGTGTTCAAACAAATTATTGACTCACAAATAAATTTTTAATTTGACATCTATTTTAATTTGTGCATCTATTCACCCCCCCTCTAGATGTCATTTGTCTAACAAGTGGTATCAGAACTTGGTTAGATAAGATATTTCTAAACGATCTGTCAAGATGTCTATGCAGAATCAGGTTTACAGGGAAGAAGTCTCAATAAACAGACCACCATTATTTGAAGGAGAAGACTATCAGTTTTGGAAAGGTGTTTGGGATGCTGTACTCAACGGTCCGTACATTCTGATGAGAACAACGGAGTCTGGAGTTGTTCCAAAGACTTTTGATCAATGGACGTCAGATGAAAATAAGCGTGCCCATTATGATGTAAGAGTCTGAAATGCTATTGTTTCTACCTTAACTCGTAATGAATTTTTCAGGGTCTCACAATGCAAGACGGTAAAAGAAATATGAGACACTCTTGAAGTAACACATGAAGGAACAAATGAAGTAAAGCGAGCACGTAAGAACACACTCATCCAGAAGTATGAATTATTTCAAATACAGCAAAATGAAAGCATCACGGATTTCCAGACACGCTTCACACATATAATAAATCACTTGAAAACATTAGGAAAAAGTTTTGAATATGAGGAGTTGAGCACAAAGATCTTAAAATCCTTAGACAGAAATTGACAACCAAAGGTCACTGCTATTACAGAATCAAAGGATCTCACAAAAATGAATATTGCTACTCCATTTGGAAAGCTGCGAGAACATGAGATGGAGCTACAAAGGTTAAAGAACGGTGAACAGAATCAAACCAAGACGATAGCTCTAAAAGCAGAAAAATCTTCACAAGATGAAAGTGAAAATAAAGGTAAGTTTTCAGACTCCGATATGTCTCTTTTTGTTAAACAATTTTCTCGCTTTATGAAGAACAGAAAAAAGACATAGCAAAAAAAGAAGAAAGCAAATAAATTCCATTGCTATGAATGTGGAAATCCTGGTCATATTAAACCAGACTGTCCGGAACTTAAGAAAGAAAAGAAAGATGTGAAAGAGAAGAAGAAAGAGAAGAACGATACCTATAAAAGCAAACGCAAAACTTATATTGCTTGGGAGGATAATGATTCTTCCACAACACAAGAAAGTTTTTCCAAAAGCAGTGATGAAGAAGAAGAAACAAATCTTTGCTTGATGACAAAAAGTGATGATGAAGCCTCATCACAGGTAAGTAGTACAAATTCCTTAAATGAATATGATGAGTTATTTAAAGAATATCAAAATATGTATAAAGGTTTTACCAAGTTATCTAAGAAATACAATGCACTTAGACAAAATTTTAATGCATTAGAAAATACGGTTGATATTTTTGAAAAAGAAAATGAGTGCTTAAATAAAGATGTTGAGAAATCTAAAACTTTGTCTAAAAATAAAGAAGTTGTTAAACCTTGTGAAAATTATAATCTTTTGGAAAATGAGATTTTCAAGTTAGAGAAAATAATAAGCAATTTTTTAAAATCTTCTGAAAATTTGATTCGATATTAGGT